ATTCTATGCTTCATCTTTCATTTTAAATTACTAAAATTGACCAAAAAATTCAATTATTTAGAATAATAAGACACTATATGGCTGTTACCCTAGGGGCTGATCAAATTAAGTAAATTACACTGAAAAATTAATTGCATAAAAATAATTGCATATTAGAAACGTTTGAAAGAATGATACTACTTTTTAAACATTTAACGCTAAACCGCCAGTAGGTGGCGGCAGGCGAGTCATTGATTAATTCATTCAAACGATTCGTTCAAACGGCTGATCATTCAAGAATGAGACAGATGTTAATGAATGGGTCATTGACTCAATCGATTCGTTCAAAATGCTGAATAATTCAGTAATGAAAACAGGTTGAGTGCTCCTGTGACGTGCGTCGTGGTTCTGCGGTGATTTTTGTTTGGAACTATTTTCGCTGCTGAAACAGAACAAAATCAGCCAATGTTGCGCATCTAAAATGTAAGTGATTTAATTTTAACTGTTTATTGAACTGTTATAGGAAATCAATGTCACGTTTTCAATCGTGATGGTGTTCAGGAAAAATAAATGAGGTTGCAATATAAAAACTTTTTATAGGCAGCCTTTCGACACTAGGTGGCATCGAAGCATTGCAAAGTTATTAGTTAATTAATTTATCCGGCAACAATAATTTTTACGAGTTGACGTATATCTGCTGAAAACAATGTCCAAGCTTAACAAAACTTAACAAAAGGGCATTCTGAGTAAGCACACCAAGTTTCATTAAACTTGCCAATACGGGGCCCAACATAAAAACAATAAATTAAAAAAACATTATAAATATGCAACCGTGTGATCCATGAAGTTGAAAATTGGTATGCATCTTCTTTGGTGGTTGTCCTAACATATCCTGAAATATGACTTGGAGATTTAGAAAATATGGCAGCCAGCAGCCAATCAAATTTCAGTGACTAAAATTGAAAAGTGACTAAAAACTAAAAACTGAAAAGTGACTAAAAACTTTTAGTGACTAAAACTAAAAAAAAGCAGTGTCTAAAGCCCCTATCCGCGATTAAAGTTTGGATGCTATCTCTAGTTCTGAAATCTTCTCCGTCAGCCTGACTATCTCCCTGCATTTATCACATGTGTAGTCCTCACCGCTATTATACATTGCAAGTGACAATACAGTACTCACCGTGTTTGTTGACTAATCCCACTCACCACAGTTGTTTGATGGACTCGTAAAAAGTAAAGTAAGTTATATTTAACAATATAAACAAAAGCAATGATAGTAGAGATTCAAAGCAGAAAGCTATACGGAGCATAAAGATGCAAACCAGCAGCTAAATGCATTTATTATACAGTAACCGTTGCTTTAACATGCTATCTAATCTTAATTTCAGTCATATCGAAATTCACAGAGCTCTGCGCTGTTATAGATGAGTCTGGTTTGAGGACGGTGCCAGACAGTGACATTTCATGGCTGTGACTGGAGACTGTGATTTGATTAACATGCAGTGATGCACAGCACTGATAAATATCCACTTTATATATATGGATTTAGGTGTTTTTGTTACAAGATGTCCTGTTTTAATCTGAACGCAGAGTAATGTAGAAAAGCACTGGTTAATGTTGGTTTGGTCAATATTATAGTCCATATCCATTGTCTGGTAACAGGTTTAAGCCCATCCTTGTTTTATGGATTTTATGTAAGTCTAGTGTGTTTGAGACAGAAGAAAGCAACAGACTGTTAGCAATTGCCCGTCAGATGAGACGCTCAGACCTGATCCCACTGAGTAAGACAGATTAGATCATCGCCTATGGGAACATCCACTCTTGGATAACAGAAACGCTCTAAAATCTAAAGAGGACTTGTAAATAAGACGCATGGAAAGATGGAAATAAAGCAACTAGTCTTAAATAAAACAGATGGTGCCTGCCTTATAATTTCAATGTTTTCTATTGATTTATGTACTGAGAATCGTAAGGATTATTGTAGGGATGCATCGATATGAAAATTTTGGCCGATACCGATAACCGATAATTCTTTATATTTGAAAGCCGATAACCGATATATCGGCCGATAAACTTAAATCCAAATTTTTATCTAATTTTGAGAGCCTGATTACAAAAACATAAGTCTCACAATTAAATCCACGTCCCAAGCGCACAATTATAATGAAGTTCTCATTATAGTGTTGTATAGCCGATATGACAGATTTGCGTTGCTCATGTTTTTAATTTTTTTTAAGAGATTTCGATCATATTTCAAGAAATTCAAAAACATAAACAGTTCTCAACAAGTGTCTAAGCTGAAGGGAATAATACATTATTTATCGATTTTAATATATCGGCCACATTTTCTTACCAGGCCAGTAACGATAACATATATCGGCCGATACCGATATATGGAAATTGCGCAGTAATTTGACAGGAAACATTTACACAGTCAGTGTTTTGGGATTGACAATTATATTTACGAACAGGTTTGTTTCTTGCCATATTGTTTTCATTATACATTAGCATGAAATCCATGTTGGTCCAGCAGGTTTATTCTGTTTAGACTGTTTCTGTTCTGATGGAGCTGGCCTAGCAAACCAGAAACCAGCTAATGCTGCTAACGAGTTGGTTGCTTAAATATGAATGTTGTTTTTATTTATTATTTTTAATTATCTCATATACTGTCTCTGCTTTTGATCTGTGCTGGTCCCATCTTTTCCATTTTAGGTTTTAACCATAACCTTTTTCCAGTTATTGTGTAAATATCTGCACAGAAACTGTGAATTTCTACCAGCAAATCTTGTGATTGTCAGCTTGTCACCATCAAAATTAAATTACACATTCAATGACACTCAATAAAACCACTTGCTTAAATAAATATTTTATTTTCAATGAAAATAAATACATTTTCTTAAGATAGAATCAACAACATTTACAAAAAGCATTGGTGGGGGCATGGCGACAGTTCATGACAGCACACAGTTTGGAGGAGAACACACAATCTCACCGGCAGGGAACATTCTGATTTACGATATACAGACTGACAGCCTTGAAATTGACATATTCCCTCTCTTTAACAAACAAAACTAATGATAGTCAAATAAGACTGGATCGCTGGGAATGTGACAAAATCATTAAATAATAATAATCTACAATTCATTCGATGCTAGACGTGGTTTGTCTATAATTATCCAAAACTCAAAACTGACAAAATACTAGGGAAGACATTCCAGTCTCTAAACTTTGAGTCTGAAACTGAGTTTCGTATGCATCAAAGCCAAGTTGGAGTTGTAAAACACATCACTCTAAAAAATGCGGGGTTATTTTAACCCAATTTTGACTAAAATACGGACAAACCCAGCCGTTGGGTTAATAATGTAATTTAAAAATGTAACCCAATGGCTGGGTTTGTCCGTATTTTACCCAAAATTGGGTTAAAACAACTCAGCAATTTTTAGAGTGAGAATATGCCCCATTAGGTTCTGTCTTTTTTTGCTTGTGCTTTTTTTATTTGGTGAACTCTGTTCACAATCCCAAGCAATTACCCGAGCCAGGGCGGGTAAAGCCGAGGGAGTTGAGCCCAGCTCTGGTGGAACAGATTAACCTACTACTACTGTATGCTGTGCTATTTCCATACCAACCCAACCCCCACGGTATTTAACACAAGAACGACCAACATAACGACACAGGAAGTTCTCAAACCCAGCAGGGCAGCCGTTCCCTACTCTTCATTACACCCTGAGCGATAGCAAGCAAATGAACACGTCCGTTTTGTAATTATCAGGCCATCTGAGATGACTGACTATCCTGACCTCAATTAAGAAGGGTGTAAGAGTAATTTAAATGTAATCAAGTGTAAACCTGCTGTGTTCGTGCTGGTTTGTAAGGAACATCAGGAAACCAGTGCTGTGGTTAGTGGTTGTTTCGAACAATAGTTGAAGAATTGACATTCAGGTTCATTTAGAAACAAGGTTTAATTCGTCATGGCTTCATGAATATCGTGGTCCATGTTTACTGCAATAAGGAGCGTATGAGGAAACAGGAAGCCAGCTTTTGAGTCATATCAAGACAGCAGTTTCTTCCTCATTTCATGAACAACTTAGGAATGTCTACAGTGAATATTCAGCAGTATCTGTGTAAAAAACTATAAGGCAGTTTCATCAGCAGGGAGAACAGGCTCAGCATTTAGCGAGGGAGGCTACAAAACATTCCACCATTTTCTAGGCAAGTTTATCTAACACAGAAATATTCCTGAAAGCATCAAGACATCCTCATTTTGGGTCTAATTCAGTCAACAAAAAGTGGTAAATGCGACAAATGTTTACCGTCGGGTTAGTTCACCCAAAAATGAAAATTCTGTCAGTATTTACTCGCCCTCATGTTGTTCCAACCCCGTAAGACCTTCGTTCATCTTCGCAACACAAATTAAGATATTTTAAGATATTATGATCGCTCCATAGGCTTCTTGAGGGAATGACTCGAAAAGTCATTAAAGACATCGTTAAAATAGTCCAAGTGACTACAGTGGCTCAATCTTAACTTTATCAAACGACGAGAACACTTTTTGTGCGCAAAAACAACAAAAATAACGACTTTATTTCAACTATTCACTTCCTTCTCCATGAGCCTGTAGTCAGTTAGCGTAGTGTGATTGCGTAAAGCTACGTCACACGTAGGCTCACTATTGGCCGACGCTGGTCATGTGTGTGATGCGTGTGACGTACAATAACAGAAGCTTACGCTATTAAACTAGTAACCTGACTCGCGCACAGGGAGAAATAAACCAATAGTTGAAATAAAGTCGTTGTTTTTGTTGTTTTTTGCGCGTTTGATAAAGTTAAGATTGAGCCCCGTAGTCATTTGGACTATTTTAACGATGTCCTTTAATGACTTTTCGAGTGTCATTCCCTCAAGAAGCCTATGGACTAGCGTACAGGAGCGATCTTAATATCTTAAATATCTTAATTTGTGTTCCGAAGATGAACGAAGGTCTTACGGGGTTGGAAAGACATGACAAAATTTTTAATTTTTGGGTGAACTAACCCTTTAAAATTTTGAATAGCTCTAAAAAAGAAAATGACCAAAGGGACAGTGTAACACTGCGCACAAAGAATGTTTCATACAAGTCCGCTATTACCTCACAACCCATTACCATTTCCAATATCATTAAGAGCAACTGGAAAAATCAACCCATTTTGAAGTACCAGCCTTCAATTCCCACTCAGTCTTGGGGTTTGTTTGAGAAAAGGCAAGTCTATATCACCACAGATCACGTTTGCTTTTTGGTAGATGTCAGATAAATACATTTCTAAATGCTATTGATTCTAGTTGCCCCTGAGGAGGCGAAGCGGTTTCTGCAAAGTTCCACGCAGACTTCATTTTCGACCACGTCAAGTTACATTCGTCCCAGGGACACTCAGTCACCGTTAATCCAGGATGACCAATGGGGCAAGACAAGGCCCGGTTCTCCAAAGACTCAAGTCTTTTCCCTCATTGAAGCAAAAAGTGTGCACTACATAATGCATAGCAGGTTGTTTCAGCCTTTCTCGTCTTGCCCCTTATATTCCTTGATCACCAAGTCTTTCTTTGATTTGGATTAGCAGCTGACAGTGCTCGGTTGCTGCTTGCACACAAAGTCTGAGATGAAATCAAACTCGTTTTGTCCGAGGTAAAGCTCAGGAAGCTCTTGAACCCGGTCCAGCCCGAGTTCCAACACCAAGGACGTCAGAACCTCCTCATCGATCAAGTCTATGTCCATGACGTTGAAGCCCAATGTTGGGCCGCCCATCCCCATCTGCATGCTCGCTAACTGAGCAGGACCCATTCTGTGCTGGACATTTCCCATGTGATGCCCATTCATGGGAGCGTACGGGTGCCCGTGGTACTGGGTGTTGAGTTTCTGAAGGTGCATGCTCGCCATCAGCTGCTGCGATGGTGTAAGGCCTCCTCCACCCATGTACTGCTGTGGGTGCTGGTTCTGCGGGTGCATGTGATGGTGCTGGGTTTGAGGGTGACCTTGTGGTTGCTGATTCGGACCTCCATACATCATATTGGCTGGCTGCATTTGGTGGGGATGTCCACCACTTATCTGGCCGTTAACCTGACCGTTCATGACGCCGTTCATCACGTTCCTCTGCCTCATGGCCGCCTCCATGGAGCTCTGAGGCCCCCTGCTGTAGTGCACGAGCTGCCCATTGGGAAGGGTCCGCAGACCGGGCTGGTGTCCGTGCACATTTGGGCCGTTCGTTCCCATGCGATACCCGTGCAGGCCTCCGCCGGCAGAGCCGTGGCTCATTGGCATCATCATGTGTTCAGCCATGCCTTTTCAACTGTAGAGATATATGAGAAGAATAGCACATATTCAAGCAACCTTTCAGTATCAGCTGATCTGTGGTGCAAACCAATTTTATTTGGCTAAACAATTGTTAATTTGATGGCCAGTCTCGATGCAATCAACTTTCACTGATTGCAGTCAGTCCACTGTAAAAATAATAATAAATACTTTTCATAATCAGTACTCATGAATCGTTTTCAGAAAATAAACCTTTAAATTCTGTCAGTATTTACTCGCCCTCATGTTGTTCCAACCCCGTAAGACCTTCGTTCATCTTCGCGACACAAATTAAGATATTTAAGATATTAAGATCGCTCCATAGGCTTCTTGAGGGAATGACTCTCGCTGGCATCGAAGAGTCATTAAAGACATCGTTAAAATAGTCCAAGTGACTACGGGGCTCAATCTTAACTTTATCAAACGCGCAAAAAACAACAAAAATAACGACTTTATTTCAACTATTGGTTTATTTCTCCCTGTGCGCGAGTCAGGTTACTAGTTTAATAGCGTAAGCTTCTGTTATTGTACGTCACACGCATCACACACATGACCAGCGTCGGCCAATAGTGAGCCTTCGTGTGACGTAGCTTTACGCAATCACACTACGTTAACTGACTACAGGCCCATGGAGAAGGAAGTGAATAGTTGAAATAAATTCGTTATTTTTGTTTGTTTTTGCGCACAAAAAGTGTTCTCGTCGTTTGATAAAGTTAAGATTGAGTCACTTGGACTATTTTAACGATGTCTTTAATGACTTTTCGGGGACAGCAAGAGTCATTCCCTCAAGAAGCCTATGGAGCGATCTTAATATCTTAAATATCTTAATTTGTGTTCAGAAGATGAACGAAGGTCTTACGGGGTTGGAGCGACATGAGGGTGAGTAAATACTGACAGAATTTTCATTTTTGGGTGAACTAACCCTTTAATCAGTACTCATAAATCGTTTTCAGAAAATAAACCTTTAAAAAAGTTGTTACCCTCTTGACAATTTTTATGTTTTATGTTTAATTCGACACAATTTAGTGAGGTTTGTGGTTACAAGCAAATGTATCTCACTGATTAAATGTCCCCCCCCCCCACATATTTTGACACAGAAACTTAAAACCCATTGTGGTTACAAGCTTAAACAATGCAGATATATCATAAATATTATGACTTGGGCCCTTAGCAGAAGACGTATAGCAGTAATGAGCACCAAGGAGCCGCCAGGAGAATCAAAACAATAACAGGCAGGGAGGTGTTCAGCAAACAAAGCCAACCTACTGTGAGCAAGAGATAATGACAAAATCTATGACTGATCGCATCTACTCAAATGACAGGGTTGAGTTTAGAGTTTTGAGAATGTATATTATGCAAAAATAACATTTGAAGTGCAATGCAATTATAATAAGTATTAATCTGTAGACATATCAGTTGGTTATACTGACTCATTACCTAACATTTTGAGATTAAAGGTATAATTTAATGAATCTTTCCAATTCATGCAGATGATTTATTCAATTGTTTTTATTTTTGCAAACCCTCAAGAAAACGTACTGTCTAGTGTTGTTGTCTCTCATCCCTCAATTCAATCCCTCCAGGGGTGGATCAGAACATGTTTAACAGTTACTAACATATTTTTAGTAGTCCACAGTTATGCCTATGTCATAATTTAGGATAGAAATAAGAGATAAAGAACAATGTCGTATGGGGTCTAGGGCACCTCTGTCTTTCTCTCTCCCTCTCTGTCTGTCTAAAACAAAGAATTTCTCTTCTTTCTACTTAGATTAAATCTTCCTTTAAATAAAATACAGGTTAAAGACTTTCACAATCCCTGTCAGACCACAGAGAAACTTTCATTAAACATCAGCGCACTCATGGGATTAAATGTTCAGCATAGAAAAGAACATTTAAATACTGACACTAAAGTATTAGTATAATATTATCTAATGATATATTGACATGCGTTATTTGCTGAGAACAAAAGTCATACTACCGTAGAGTAGCCTAACATGTTTTGAGATCTAAGAACTAAAAGCCAAAGGCACACTTAACCTATCCAACCATATGTGTTCAACCATAGCAATATTTAAATAGCCTATCGCTAATATGCACATGCTGATTTCATGGATTTAATTTACAAAAAGAATAAAAAGGTCCTGCCTACTCGTTATCACAGTGATCTCCATATAAAAAGCACATACCGTCAAATAAATCCTGTTCTTGTAAAGATGCTCTTTCGTGTTGTCAGTCTGTAAAGCAGCGCAGGTATCTCCAGAGGCTGTTCTCAGATCTGCTGCTGAGCGCTTTCTGGGTCAGCTCAAGGATTACACACACATACATAAAGAAGACCAGTGAGAGAGGCGGAGCTACATGATCCCGCCTCTGCCCTGCTGTGATTGGCTCTTCCTCTCAACACAGACGTCACTGGCCAATTACTCACATGGCCTTCAGTTTAATGTGCACTGGCCAGACTCTTCAGAAATTACTCATAAACTAAAACACAACTCATAGGTGCTGCTTGTTGTTTATACATGTTCATTTATGAAGGGAAACTTGATATTGGTAGTCTCAAATGGAAACCTGTTTCATTTGTTTTTTTTTATCATACATCTCTCGCTTTTTCACCTGTGGTATGTTATAATTTGAAGATACCAACAATATTGTGCATAAAAATATTTATTTTATTGATATATGTCGTATAGAATTCTGTATTATCTTATAGATCTGTAAAGGAGAGGACAAGGAAGTGCTCATTGATCAATTTACCCAACTCAGGGACTTTTGGTTCATAGTAGGCTATTCTAATCCAAAGTATCTCAACAGAAATGGACATAAAGCAGGTCGCAGCTCTGCACTCTTATGTAAATGGGATATTTACCATTTTAAAGAGAGAGACAGACTGCGAGAAGAAAGAAAACCTCCTGCTGGCGTGGAGCATGAGCAATTGGATTGACACTAGATCTGTATACTGCCCAAACATACAGTACTATATATCCTCACATGTTCATTTATACTATGCATGTTGAATTTATGTTTCTTGTGATCTTCAAAACCCTGCGATCTAGAGATTGTGTGTAAATGCTTGACAAAAACAAATTGCTTAAATGATATATATATATATATATATATATATATATATATATATATATATATATATATATATAGCATATATCTGCTTGCCTTCAATCGGTAATAATGTTTTTAATCCCAGTGTTACTGGTGGATTTCAACGGGAGATTCGAGCATGTCTTTGCGTCTTCACGTCACATCTGTACACATAAAGAAGGAGTTTCGCTAGTATAAGCTAAATTGCTTGTGAGGATGTTGGAGATGGAGATTTATAGCCTTTTCTCACAGCACTTGATATGATTAAACTTATCAATTTGATGGCAGATCCAGAAAGGTTCGAACGACAATCACCAGTGACAACAGATTGAAGAAAACGTAGTAAACATGGGAACTTATTCAATACTGTTCAGAACAATGGTGACCTCTTTAAAGAACCTCAAATATAAGATTAATGTCAGTGTGTTGATTACTCACTCACTAGAAATACCACATACATGGATTTAAAACAGATAAGACTAATGAAGAAAACGTCTGACAAACTGAAATGCCTCTATTTACTCACTCCTCCAACTCTAGGGAGGAATGTGGTGAGCAGAAGTGTATAATCCCCCTCTCTCTCTCTCTCTCTCTCTCTCTCTCTACATTCTCCTGTTCTTGTATTGTTTCCTTTGTCAGTGTGTAAATTAAGCCTGAATCGGCCTTAAACAGATTAAACAGTTCAAATGACTTTAACTTTGCACATGGACCTTCATCATAGCCTAACAGAACGGTTAAATGACAGAATTTGTGATTAATTTTGTGCATCTCCACACTCTAAAAAAATGCTGGGTTGTTTAACCCAAATTTGGGTCAAATATGGACAAACCCCAAGTGTTGGGTTAAAAATGCAATTAAAAAATGTACATTTGAAAGTGAAAGTTGAAGTTGGGTTAAAATGCGAAATTAGATTTTTAACCCAACATTTGGGTTTGTCCATATTTGACCCAAATTTGGGTTCAAACAACCCAGCATTGTTTAGAGAGTGTATACTACAGTACGATACTTGGGTCTTTGAATGATGTGAATGATTACGTTTGTTCTCTTTAATTCATCATGTGCTTTTTGTACATGATTACCTCAAATTGTGAATTGTGACTTTTCTAAAAAAAAAAAATATTTATGATTTTCAGTTTACCAAATAAGCCTATACACTTATAGAAAGGAGAAGGAGCCACATCTGGGACCAGAATAGCCGGGTTCCTTTGACTTGGGCCAGTAACTAATCACATAGTAAACTAAACACTCTATCAACTGCATTACAATGTCTTGGCAACTCCCTACTACACCCAGGGCATGATCCACCACCTTTATTCATCATAAAATCTCCCTATGATAAACTGAGACAATTCTGTCCAAATGTTCTTGCAGGTGTTCAGTGCTAGACCCAATTTCTTAAGAAATCCTGGTGGGGTGTCAAAATGTGTCAAGAGCGAATGACCTAACTAATGCAATAACAAGATAAAATTAGTCTGTCTTCTATATCTGGATAGATTTCACATCAGAGTATTGCAGAGGACCATAATAGTGCACCATTGTTTTCACATTAAAGTATTAATAATTAATTAAAAGGCATAATATTTAAACATAAAGTGCAAGTTTTTCCTGCAGCTATTGACACCAAATGGAATCATAAAAATGATTATTTTCAAACAGGTTTCCCAAACATCTCACCCTTCGTCTCTTACATGGTTGGATAAGTCATACCACATACTTGCTTATATACATAACCCTTTTGATAATTGACATTAAAATGCGCTATTCACACTTAAATGGTTGTAATTCAAGAATGCTTTGGAATATAGACCTAAGTTTGGTCTTGTTTTAAAGAACACAATCTGCAGATAATTACTGAAGTGAAAGCACTTCAAAAAATTAAAGTGTGAAAAAGTTATGGAAGTTATAATTTAAAGATATTTTTTAATATAAAATAAATATTTTACAAAATATGTTTTACTATAAAATGAAAGCTATATATCTAACCAAGTTGTGTTCCAAATTTAAAGTGGATATCACAAAAATTGAAGTTCCCATGAGATTTTGTTTAGGCGTAGTACCAAAAATAGCCACCGGGTGACTTTTGAATTCCATTAAATTTAATTGTATGCATTCTGCCATAACAAATTAATACATTTCTATCCAAATATTACTTCTGTCACTAAATATGGAACCTTGAGACTCAGACCTTTCTGACAACATGTGTTTTGTCAAGATCAGAAAAGGTTTTGATAATAAATTATGAAAGATGGTGCCCAAAAGGGGAGGGGCCTTATAAAAAAATACCGTTTCTATGGTAACGCAATGTCCAATTTCAAAATGGTTTTCACAGGATGAATTCTGAGTTTGTAAGCTTTCAAATGATACCTAATTTCTGATAACTACTAAAATATGTGATATAATAAAAAAATTATATTTATAAATATAATATATTATACTTTTTAGAGGAAGGACTTCTTACCTTACTTTTTAAAATATAATTGTATCTTTTTTTTATTGACAAATACTAGTTATGTTTTATTATGAAGTTGAACTTTTAGCACTAAAAACCAAAGTTTCAATTATTAAAAGTGTGTGCGTCGACTTTTTGCGACAAAGGTCAGAAACTCCTGTAATGACGTAGATCTTTTTGAGGCGCACTCTCGTCATAAATTCATATATTACTGTTCATTCACAATTTGTAAGAAAAAAACAGTGCTAAAATATCTATTTAGGAGTCTTAGACCTTTCCAATGATGTATAGTTTGTCATGAATAGATTTAATAGAAATATAGGATATTATAAGTAAATTTGGATTGTGACAGTAGTATATTATTGTAGCAAAAGTATACTTTTAAAGGTTTGGCAACACTGACATTAGACATATCTATAGACCATTTCACAAGATGTAAACAACACTGGTCCAGAAACACTTCCTGTTTCAGTTTGTAACTGTTTTCTTTATTTCACATGTAAAGAAAACATCTTAAAGATGTTTGTTTAACTTTTTGATTCAGTTTTAAATGTTCTGTTGGTTGTATTTTATCCCAGCTTTTATGTAGTGTTAAAAAACTGAAACAGGAAGTGCTTCTGGACCAGTGTTGTTTACATCTTTTGAAATGGTCTATAATATAATATATAATATATCTATAGCTCCATAATATAAATACGTGTTACAGGCTCACCATTGGATGACATTTATTTGTACAGGTCACGTCTACCCACACATGCTTTATATCTCTCTTTCTTACACTCACACTCGTGCCATTTCATTCTCTTCAATCACGAGTCGTTAAGTTTCAACATGATTAATAAAGTTATTTCGAAACAATTACAGGCTAAGACTAACAAAATGTCAATGGGAAGGTAATTACAACCAACAGGTTCGATTTGTGACTTGTCATCCATTTGACCTTCAGAGGGAGAATGAAAGCATTGGTAAAAAGGTCACAGCGATGGACGGTCTCTTCTGACGCGTGTGAATTATTATCCGTAGCAATTTGCAGGTGGTGTGTGCCGAGCATTTCCATAACAGCGCCATACTCTCCCTCTGACATTTCATAAAAAAGCCTCATGAATATTTTCACAGCTGTTTGGTTGTGTTTATATTGGTGTTTAGCATGCACACTCACAGGTCAGTAATGAAACCCACTGAGATGGAGTGCTGTGGAAACAAAGATGAATACGTTTTTCCTTTTTTTCATGGAATGTGGTGATCTGAGGTTGGCTATTGCAGATTTTTAAAAAGTGGGGTTGCAAAAAAAGGGAAAATTTCAAAGGGAGAAACGTTCCCTTTTAGTAGAATTTACACCCTAGATATAGCTCTAATGCAAAAGTTAGCATATATTTTTTATTTATTTATTTGAGCAGTAACCTTTCAGCTCAAAAGGAGAGAGCCGAAGCAACAGAGCTTATTAGCGCTCTCCCCCAAATTTTATACAAGACAATTTCTCATTTCACAATCGTTCAAGGGAACAAAGTGCAAAACAACAACAAAAAGACAACAAATATCTGGTCATGATTGAACAACAAAGCGACAACAAGAATCTGGTCATGGTAGAAGTACCCAACTTTCAACACAGCGGAGAAAGCATCACACAACATGCTGGACACTCATGTAAACTCGTGTAAAATGTCATTTTACCACCCCTTTAACACATGTACACACAGCAGCCAGTGCATGATGCGTGGTGTACAAAGATCTCTCCTCCACTCCCCGTGTGTT